CCTGGGAACCAACTGAAATTGTTTTGCACCTAATGCTAATATTTGTTAGCATTAAGAAATGCTAAGAAATTATTTTGCTTTAATAAATTGTTCCTTCTCTAGAGGAAAACGCTTCATAAAATATTTTTTTTTCTTAAAATGTTAAATACTGGTATTGCTTCAATAATTTTTAGAGGTTTTGTCCTTTATTATAGTGGCACGGCCTTCATGTTGGTTGCCTTACGTCAACAGCCTGTTGATGAATTCTTTGTAGATTGGCAAGACCTTAAAAATGTTCATCTGGCTCTGTGATTAATCAGAGCATGTTTGCCGGCCTAGAGCGTTCTTTCTTAAACAGATAAGAATTCTTAAATTTTTTTTTTTTTTTACCTTACTCCCACAATGCCTCTTTTGCCTTGCCTGGTCTGTACGTTCCTTCCGCATCACTCCCTGCACTTGTTAAACAATGCAACCTTATTTCAGTTTAAAACTTGGCTGACCTGTACTTCAACTTTGTCAAAGTAAACAAGTCATTATTAACTGCCTGCCTTCCCTTTATTTATCTTTGCGAGGCCTAATTTAGGTAACATCTTAAGGACTACCCAGCTAATGCACATGGCTTTTTTATCAAATTTTTTTTTCACAATATGCATGTAAAAGAATTTACACCTTGACTGAAGTTAAGACATGCCTTCTCGTTGAAAGATTAAAAAAGAGAAAAAAGACATGCCTCCTAAGTACCTTTCTTTTGAAAGAGGGATATTCTTTTTCAGGGTAATCAGACTAAGCCGTGTTACCAACCACCATTAAATACAGATTCAAGAAAAGATTGAAAGGTTTAAAATGTTTTCCCTTGTTCCGCTGGCTTAGTGATGTGTCTAAGTCGGGGACCTGACCTCAACAAATGTTTTTTTTTTTGTTTTTTTTAATGAATATGTGTGTGTGTGTATATGTGTGTGTATGTGTGTATATGTGTATATATATATATATATGTATGTATGTATGTATGTATGTATGTGTGTATATATATATATATATATATATATATATATATATATATATATATATATATATATATATATATATATATATATATATATATATATAGGTTATGGTGGGGAAAAATTGTGATTGAAAACCCCTTCCACCTGAAGTATGTGGATAGTTAATACACTGCTAAACAAAAATCTGCACACCAGTCAAGCCATAAGACTTGCTTTTTCCCACAGAAATCCCAAATCAGCAGTGATGTTACAACCGCAAAGGATTCTGGGTGGGCATATGCAAATTAGTTAGCAAATGTGATTCTTTGTTAAACTAATTTGCATATGCCCACCCAGAATCCTTTGCGGTTGTAACATCACTGCTGATTTGGGATTTCTGTGGGAAAAGCAAGTCTTATGGCTTGATGGGTGTGCAGATTTTTGTTTAGCATTGTATTATATATATAAGTAATGATGGCACTCCAAGGACTTCAAAAATGTTGTGAAAAAACTTAGCTTTTATTCAGGCATCTGCCACAGAAGATCAACGTTTCAGTTCTCTAAGGAACTTTCGTGCGCGTATATATAAAATCACAAGAAAAATTTAACAAAAGAATGGTAAAATTGAATTCACCTACAAATTGATAGTCCTAGATCAATCTAGGTAATTAAATACAATTTTTTTTATTATTAAACATATTGGCCAGTCATTTGTATTCTTTTGAACCATCTTAATAAAATTGTAGTCCATAAAAAATAAATGCCAGTAATTTTGTTTTACACAATAGGTTTCCAAGAGATTGTAATAGATCGAGTTAAGTCTTGTTTATATAGCAACCTTTAAAAGAGACCCTTAATAGTGTACTTTACGTTAATACGCTATGTGAACTGAAGAATATGTATCTTGGCAAAACCGGAGCACTTTTAGAACAAAGTACTGTAGAAAGTTTGGAGCAAGCAGGAGGAACAGTCAACCAGTTTTCATGATGAATGCTCCAGATGTAGGATTCCAACTCATAATTTCCATATCCAGTTTTGATCTGATAACGACAAAGGAAATCAAAATAAGTCCATCAACTTAAACAGATGTAAAGGACAAATGTCAACGACAGTTAGTGTCTATGGTCTTCTCTGCTTCACTTCCTGCACAGAAGCAGGGAAGACCATGGAGACTAACTGTAAATTTAACCACATGCTTCATGTTTTTCTGAACACACCATTGGTGCTTTAGTCTCGTAGTGCTAATATATATAATATTTTTTTTTGTTAACATTTCTTTCTAGGTTTCCCCTCACCTTTGAGTCTCACATTCAATATTTTGCCGAATCCTGTAGATTAAAAGTACAAACAAAATAAAATGGCGCAAAAATGTTTTAAAATAAATATTAACACCAAAAACCAAATGTAAACCACCTGGGCATACATATAATAAATCCCCAGAAAAAGCATAGAAAACAAAATAATAGGTGCACAAACAATATTGGAGATAACCGTGTAAGTGACAATCAGAAAGTTATAATATTCAAATCGCTCACCAACAAGAGCACAAAAATTTATACAACCAGAGTTAAAACCACACTGCGATAAAATGGAAGTAATTATGTCGCACACAAATATATACTTGCACTCTTCCTTAATAGTGCGTCTCACTGATCTAAAATATATAAAAATAAAACACAGACCTAGTGCAATATTGTCAAAACACAGTCTGTTATGAGGTACTCTGTAAGAATTAAACTCACAATTGTGGAGTGGTTATAGTACCACTAGAAACTATCAGGCACAGGGAGTATCAGACCCTTGTGTGTGCTGGATCTAGACGTGGGTAATCACACGAACTCACCATCAGCTGAAGACGTGAAGTAAAATATTTTATTCACACACAAACAAATGTAAAAGTAAAAAAGATAGTTCTCACTGTACTGGAGCAGATCAAAGTCATGGGGATTAGTAGATCTACAGTCCGAGTTCCGTCTTGCTGTATCCCCCAGCTGATCGCTGTCCCACTGTACACGTGTAGATATTTCTGGGTACGAAGTGCTACACGTTTCACTCGAGAGCCAGAGAGGTGGGGCGAAACGCGTAGCACGCTGAACACAGAAGTATCTACATGTGTACAGTGAGACGGCGATCAGCTGGGGGATACAGCGATACGGAAATCGGACTTTATATCTATATAAATGGCAATAATAATCATGCAACTAGAGTTCTGAGTTGCCTGAATTAGTTTGCATATAGTATCTACATTTACAAATTGGGCAGAGCTATATCTCTTCACAGGAGGATATTTGACAATAACTGCACATACCCAGATTCACTGATCAGTGTGCTATGTGTAAAATGGTAACAGCTGCAGCATGGCTGTTATCAGTATTTAGATAATTTCCACTTATCCTAGGAGATAACAGAACTGCTCTAGTGGGATAAAGATTGTATCCCATAAACTATTGCTAGGCATAGGTTTCTGAGATAAGATTAGACCCCCAGATTAGAAATAGATGCTCCTAATTGCAGGTCTGCAGGCAGACCCACTAAACAGAGATTCAGTTTGGAAATGTTTATGTATGATTTTTATTTTGTACATTTACATATTTTTTTATGTGTTTATTTTTTAATAAAATTTTAATACATTGTTTTGCATCCAGGAAAACTACAACATTAAATGTACTTATCTTTATAAATACATTTTACCGTTTGGTTCCCATGTATTTCATGCTCCTCTGCATTCATAATATAGTTTTTTCTTTTAAAAAACATCCTCTAATTAGTGGATGTTGCGACTTTTTAGGGGGTGTTGTGACTTATGTGTAACTCATCAAAGTGTAATTTGATGGCAAGTGAGAAATATACTTTACTCCTTTCTGTTTATGTAAATTGTGTGAGATGATTAAAGGGACACTATAGTCACCAGAACAACTACAGCTTATTGAATTTGTTCTGGTGAGTAGAATCATTACCTTCAGGCTTTTTGCAGTAAACACTGTCTTCTCAGAGAAAATGCAGTGTTTACATTACAGCCTAGTGATAACTTCACTGGCCACTCCTCAGATGGGTGTTAGAGGTCCTTCCTGGGTCACGGCTGCCTAAAATGCATCCAAACATTCAATGTCTCCTCCCTCTGCATGCAGACACTGAACTTTCCTCATAGAGATTCATTGATTCAATGCATTTCTATGAGGAGATGCTGATTGGCCAGGACTGTGTTTGAATCATGCTGGCTCTGCCCCTGATCTGCCTCCTTGTCAGTCTGAGCCAATCCTATGGGGAAGCATTGTTATTGGATTAGGCTACCACTTCTGATGTTGTCAGTAGATTGCTTGTTTTTCTGAGTCTAACAGCATGCAGAGTTACAGCTTCAGGCTTGCATACAGTACAATAAAAACAATAAAAGGCTGCGCACAAAAGATAAATAAAGTCCAATTAGAGTAAAATAAAATAAAATAAGTCCAAATGGTTTTTTCTTACTGATGTCCTTGTTTGGTGAGGTCTTCTATTTTTGTGATGATTTCACTTAATAAAAGATAAAAAAGAGAAGACAAGGGGACATCCAATGGTGTAGTATGTAGAATTCAAGTCTTAGAGATAAAAATTATAATAGTAAAAAACTCACATTTACCAGAGCTATTGTCCAGCTCTAGGAGTTAAGCGCATACAGCGGTTTAATCCCCGCTTATGGGATATAGGGCAGGTTCCTCTCCGTGAATGGTATCCAATTCTCGGGATAAAACAAACAGCCAATAGTGCTCACTGTATGGCGAATAATAATTAAATAATAAAAGAAATGTACTTACAAAGTAGGAGCAGACACACTGCTCTTTGGTGACAGCTTGGGTGGATTGATCCCCACCTACGGATTTCTTTGGGTACAGGAAACTTCCAGGAATTTTTAAGGTTTTTTTTTTTAAAACCAGTTAAAAAAAAGAAGGTATTTAAAATAACAATAAAAGGGCCAGGGTAAATGAGAAGAGTATGTGTCTTATAAAAAAGATAATTGGCAAAAACAAATGACCAATAATACTTTAATATATATAAAAACACAATATTTAAATTTCCATAACGCGTTTCGTCACAAAAGGACTTTTTCAAATGGAATAACCAATAACCATTTGAAAAAGTCCTTTTGTGACGAAACGCGTTATGGAAATTTAAATATTGTGTTTTTATATATATTAAAGTATTATTGGTCATTTGTTTTTGCCAATTATCTTTTTTATAAGACACATACTCTTCTCATAAGCGGGGATTAAACCGCTGTACGCGCTTAACTCCTAGAGCTGGACAATAGCTCTGGTAAATGTGAGTTTTTTACTATTATAATTTTTATCTCTAAGACTTGAATTCTACATACTACACCATTGGATGTCCCCTTGTCTTCTCTTTTTTATCTTTTATTAAGTGAAATCATCACAAAAATAGAAGACCTCACCAAACAAGGACATCAGTAAGAAAAAAACCATTTGGACTTATTTTATTTTATTTTACTCTAATTGGACTTTATTTATCTTTTGTGCGCAGCCTTTTATTGTTTTTTTATTGTATTCTGTTTTAAAGGGTTTGAGGGATTCCCTTTTAAGGTCGCTGCCTATAGTTACTTAGCGCTATCTCACTCCTCTTTTTTACCATTTGCATACAGTACAATTTTACTATATTTAGTATATTTAGTGTTTCAGGGGGTCTAGATGGTGGGTTTAACACTATAGGGTCAGGAATACATGTTTGTGTTCCTGACCCTATAGTGATCCTTTAATGATTATAATGATAATGGTTAATTAGAAATAAAGAACCTTGCATTCATCCTCTTGTTGATCTCCATATATGGCTATGGAATAAAACATTGCCAAACTGTGATATAAATCTGCACCACAGAAAGGTAATGGCACTGTGCACCAGAGAGATGAGAGAAAACAGAATTGTGATTTGTGTACTCAAACTACTATCCCTATATAATTGAGTAGAAACCAGGAGGAAAAGGTTGCCCAGCCCACTCAAAGAAAGGAAGAGGAGGAACAGAAAGCAACATAGTCCACGGAACAAACCAGAGTAACAAGGGAATGTTGAAGAAAAGATGACATACTTTTAAAGTATTTATTGTACAGCCCCCATAAAGGGTGATGCCAAAGAAAACCATAGGTGGCAGACCAGAAAATTATATTTTAGAATTACCCTTACAAAGCAAATGCAGTTTATGAAATGGCACAGGGTTATTTTTTGCAAATAGACAACATGCTCGTTAGTCCTGGGTCTGACTGAGATACTGGAGTGTGTGATAACATAGTAGCTGAGATAAAAGTGCACAGGGGAGCGATACAGCATTGACCCATGTTATCAGGGATGTCTCTTCAGGAACGAGCACAACTTTAGGGGTTGGTCTTTATGTAGAGGAATAGATTCACAATTTTTCTCCAGTGGTTTTAGCAGAACAGGTAGGAATTCTTTATACCACAGCATAATTTGGAAAGCAAGGATAGGAAGCACAAGAACAGGCAAGGTTTCACTGGTAGAAGGGACAAATAGAACCTCAGGGATGGGTATCATAGAGGTGTATATGTGTGGGGGTAGGGGGTAACATATGGGAGGGGGATGATAGACGTATGGGAGGAGGGGGGGTTGATGAACAGGGGGGGCCCCAGGGCAAATTTTGCACTGGGGCCCCGTGATTTCTAGTTATGCCTCTGTCTGTGTGTGTGTGTGTGTGTGTGTGTGCTAGTGAGGGAGCTTGTGTGTGTGTGTGCTAGTGAGGGAGCTTGTGTGTGTGTGTGCTAGTGAGGGAGCTTGTGTGTGTGCTAGTGAGGGAGCTTGTGTGTGTGTGCTAGTGGGGAGCTTGTGTGTGTGTGCTAGTGAGGGAGCTGTGTGTGTGTGTGTGCTAGTGAGGGGAGCTTGTGTGTGTGTGCTAGTGGGGAGCTTGTGTGTGTGTGTGTGTGCTAGTGAGGGAGCTTGTGTGTGTGTCTGCTAGTGAGGGAGCTTCTGTGTGTGTGTGTGTGTGTGTCTGCTAGTGAGGGAGCTTCTGTGTGTGTGTGTCTGCTAGTGAGGGAGCTTCTGTGTGTGTGTGTCTGCTAGTGAGTTAGCTTCTGTCTGTGTGGGTCTGCTAGTGAGTGAGCTTCTGTCTGTGTGGGTCTGCTAGTGGTGAGCTTCTGTCTGTGTGGGTCTGCTAGTGAGTGAGCTTGTGTGTGTGTGTCTGCTAGTGAGGGAGCTTCTGTGTGTGTGTGTGTGTGTGTGTCTGCTAGTGGTGAGCTTCTGTCTGTGTGGGTCTGGGTGGGGGAGCTTGTGTGTGTGTCTGCTAGTGAGGGAGCTTCTGTGTGTGTGTGTGTGTGTGTGTGTGTGTGTCTGCTAGTGAGGGAGCTTCTGTCTGTGTGTGTCTGCTAGTGAGTTAGCTTCTGTCTGTGTGGGTCTGCTAGTGAGTGAGCTTCTGTCTGTGTGGGTCTGCTAGTGAGTGAGCTTCTGTCTGTGTGGGTCTGCTAGTGAGTGAGCTTGTGTGTGTGTGTGGGTCTGCTAGTGAGTGAGCTTGTGTGTGTGTGCCTGCTAGTGAGTGAGCTTGTGTGTGTGTGCCTGCTAGTGAGTGAGTTTGTGTGTGTGTGTGTGTGTGTGTGCCTGCTAGTGAGTGAGTTTGTGTGTGTGTGTCAGTGAGCTTGTCTGTAGATAGCTTGTGTCAGTGAGCTTGTCTGTAGTGAACCTGTGTGTTAGTGAGCTCTTCTGTAGGGAGCGTATATGCGTCAGTGAGCTTGTCTGTAGGGAACATGTGAGTTTGTTTATACTAAATTTGTGTGTGTTTACCAGTAAGCTTGTCAGTGTGTGTCATTGAGATTTTGTCAGTGAGCCTATTTGTATGCATCAGTGAGCTTGTGTTTCTATGTCAATGAGTTTATGTATATCAATGAGATTGTCTGTGAGCATGTTTATCAATGAGCTTGTGTCAGTGAGATTAACATGTGTGCATGTGAGTATGATTTACTGTATAATTTAATTACCCCGAAAGGACCAATATTTGGAATTAGAAAAAGAAATATACCAATAATTATAATTATATTTATTTATATAAACTGACCTGCCCCTTTGGGGGTGGAGCTAGTTATTGGTCTGCCTCTTTAAGCTTCCTCCCAACAGCAACTCCATTCTCTGGATGCCAGAATTGGGAGATATATAACGCTGGTATAATACCTGGAAGGCTATTTGATTTGCTTTGTATGTGCAATCATGGAACAAAATGATCTAGAACAGATTTGCATAGGGAAGTTTAGATGCCTCTCTCACTTTAATTTTTACATCGTATCTAGAATAATAATAAGAGGTGCTTAAATAAGTTTATTTAAAAAAATTATTTTCATTACTTTCAGACAGGTCATCTCTAATCCACAAAATATAACGTGTTTGGTATGAAGTTCTGTTTGGTGGCCAATATTTTTTGTTTTTCTTTTAAAGAAAGGAAAAATGGAAAATTCTTACTCCAAAACAAGTTTTAGCAAGACCTCTTGAGTTCTTGTGTGCAATGTGTTTAAAGGGACACAATAATCACCAAAGCAACTTTTGCTTAATAAAGCAATGTTGTTGTATAGATCACGCCTCTGCAGTCTCACTGCTCAACTCTCTGCCATTTAGGAATTGAATCACTTTTTTACACGTCCCTAGTCACACTTCCCTGCATGGGACTCACAGAGCCTTCCTAAACACTTCCTGTATAGACATCTAATGTTTACACTTCCTTTATTGCAAATTCTGTTTAATTTATCATATTTTTCTAGAGCCCGTAGGAGCCTCCTATATGTAATTAAAATCCAATTTACAGAGCAGGAGATAAAAACTTTTCAGAGCAAGTTACATTTGATTGAAAATTAAACAATTTTTTCATGCTGGCTGTGTCCATCACAGCAAGGGTAGGTGTTACTAGAGATGCATAAACAGAAACAAAAGTGATTTAACTCCTAAATGGCAGTGAATTGAGCTGTAAATTTCAGCGGCTACACACCAAAACTAATTCATTAAACTAAAGTTGTTTTGGTGACTATAATGTCCCTTTAATATAGACACACGCACAAACTAATAATTAGAGGAACAGAATAAGTAACAGTACATGAAAATGTTTAATGAATTTTAATAATTATAACTTTGCTTGAAGGATACTTGTTCATGCAGAGAGCCATGAAACGGGTTTATTTTATATGGTGTTACAACATTTTTTCAGTTTACTGACGAATGAATTGCTGACAGCTACATCTGCCTCGTTGTATGAGTTTGTGATTTCCCATGATCTCTAGCCTTTGAAGAAATTCCAATTTGAACATGAAATGCGTCAGACATGCAAGCTAAATCCTCCCTTTTTTAAACTCTATTTTTAACTCATCAATTTGTTGTCTTGATGTGGTCTGGAGTCAGATCGGTTTTTCACACTTACATTTTTCACTTGTTACAATTACATTTCTTCTGGGATGCAATTTATTTATTCTTCTCTTTTTTACTGGTTTCATACACAACAAAAATCTTCTATGATAACACATCCCAAATATACACCTGTACACATGGATTAAACCTGAAAAGAAGAGGGTCTTTTGTGCTGGAGGAGAGGATGGCTAGACGGTTGAAGGAATCTTTAAACTAGGAGTAGAAGGGGAGGTCAAAGAAGGGTAAATATTTTAAAAAGGGTGCAAAAGCTCAACCTGGAAAATAGACCGTGAGCTTAACATCTGTGGTTGGGAAATAATTTGATGGGATGTTAAGGGATAATATTCAAGAATTCATTTTCAACAAAAATATCATTTGCAGGAATCCACATGGTGTTATGAAAGACCGGTCATGCAAAACTAACTTAATTGCATTCTAGGAAGACGTTGGTAGAAATATAGATCATGGTGTTCCAGTAGATGTGATCTACTTGGATTTTCCTAAGGCATTTGATATAGTTCCACACAAAATGTTACTAGTAAAACTAAAATCAGTTGGTTTAGATGGAAAAACTGTTTTTGGATAGAACACTGACTTAAAGATAGAGCCGTAGTGTAGTTGTGCAGTAGTTGTAAGTGGAAAATTGTCAAATTTGACAAAATAAGGAAGTGCCTCAGGGTTCTGTCCTGGGTCCAGTTCTCTTAAATCTAGTATAAGTGATCTTGAAGTGGACATTGAAAGTCATGTGTCAGTGTTTTCAATTGACAAAAAACTAGGTAA